ATACGAGCGGCAAAATTTGAGAACAAATTTAGAACGGATTCCTATGTGTGTGAGGGAATGTTTCGTAGTTCTAGAAATTTCTTGAAAGAGATTTTCGCTCTTGTTCTAGGTTCATAATTGATCCTTTGCTATTTTCTAGTTGCATGGTTAGAACCCAAGCTTAAAACGATGAAGAAGCCCTTTCATTTAGTGGTTGACGGTTTTTGTTACCACCTCAGGCAACATCACCAGGACTGAATGCAAGTCAACTCATCGTTTCAACTCAATGGCACAATATTAACGGATTAGCAATATGCTTAATTCCTCCATAACTAAATTTCATCTAGTATTGCACCGCTGCTTGTTCCTAATTGCCTGTGGGTCCATTTGAGCAGGCGAAGATCATTGTACTGGAGAAGCTGATTTGATATATTTATCATCAATCAGTTTGTTTGATCGAGATATCTCACACCAATTAGAAAAATGTTTCAGGCGCTAGTTCTTTATTAAATTTCGTTTCAGTCGTATCATATGTTATCTGACATACTTCAGCATACCAACGTATTTTGATATCTGTGCGGCAGCAGATGAGTTTAGCATTTCCCGCTACTTCATTCGTAAAGAGGAGGAGAAGTTACCCTAGCGAACAAATGATATCAGATGCGTCTAGCACAAAAGGCGCTGAAATACCATGGAGTTGTGACTTGCTTAAATACCCGCTTCCCTTAGGCAACTTACTGCAATGGGGCCATAAGATACGTCTTGAAATCTCGTCCTGGAGGAGTTTAGCATTATTTGACATACGAACGTAGCTTGATATTGATGTAATAGCAAATTTTGACTCATAGGAGTGTCATACATGTTGGGATTCAGATTATATATAACTTCTTACTTACTCACTTCCATATTTGACTTATGCGAAACACTGAAGGGTATTCATTGCATATTTGGTGTTTTCGTGCCAAAGAATGAACGGACTCCTTTATTAACACCTTTACATTGTACTATCTTTCTCTATTACTGAACCACGCACCATGTCATTCTACTATGGCCTCAATATTTAGTATGGCAGTCGCGAATTCCAAGCAAACGTTCCTTCATTCTGAAATATAGTAATCTGTAGGTATCTATAGCATTCGATAAGCCCTATTTTAACGGTAGCGTTTAGGGTTCTCTCTTGGCTCACTAGACGGAATTTGCTTCGAAATAGCGTTGCTCCAGAACCTTAAAGATTTGTCCTTCATAGCAATTTTACTTTGGGACAAACTGATGTTTAACTTTAATTTGAATATTTTAACTGCAAATTGTAATATTTTAAATATATTCTTGTATGTGAATTTGCACATTTGTGTTCGAAAAAGTAAACGTATCATATATGTTTTCAACAAATGTTATGTGCAGATATTTCGTTAATTCCATATTCCTAGTGATTTTGAGTTTATATGCACACACAGCATAATTATGTGCCTATAAGATGAATCCTTCGCATGCCGGACAAACTGATATTTGATATGGATAACATGACAGATTGTGTCTCTGTTTAAACCAATGAAGACGTCATTATGCTAGTGCAATATTTTTATCCGAAGTTTCCACTTGTACATCCACGAATTGATGCTACAGATGACATTTTTCTCATTTTTTGACCTCACAAGTGCGGCATTTCCCTCATTTTCTCTTCTTCTCATGAACGTTTCCGTTCGCGGGAAAGATGGCGCATTGAAAACCTTTCTCTAAGCTCTCTTTTACGTTTAATAAAAGTGGTGGCAATCCAATCGTTCCGCAGTCGCAGCGTGTTTTCCTTAATGATATTTGCCTGAAAAGTCAAAGAACTTGACTCATTAGCCAATCATTTCAGGGTAAATGGTCATTTTTTATTGCCAAAGGAAATACTTTAAATCCTCGTTCGCCCTGCATACGTTGGCGTATTCAGTCGTAAGAACAAGCGAATTTATGTAAGCAGCTCCGAGCATGGCTGACGAATGCTTTATTGCGTAGTTAAGTTACTAACGGGCATCCGAACAGCGAGGAATGTAACAATTGTCATTTATCTTTGAGGTAATTTCTACGCAGATATGAATTTACTTAATTTTACAAAAGGCCTAAACATGGGCGATGACTCTACTCTATTGGTGAGTAATTCGATATTGTTCAATGGTCTTGCAGACATAGGCCATATCGAATGAAAACGACAGTTTTCAAACACAATTGATTCGTGATGGATCGCAGTGGAGAAAATGCCTTTTTTTATGTTATTCCCTCTCCAGCAGTGAAACAAGGGTTACTTTTTCCGCTTCTTGTCTCGAAAGACGCATATGGAAAATTTTTCTTGAAGAAACTATATTTTTAATGGGAAGACCTCATGGAAATCGTCCACTGACTCAGTGGCTGCAGACAAAAAAGATGATTCACTTCTACGCCTATCTTGAGGACAACAGTTGCATTTCCACCACAATATCATACAGTGAAGGGAAACAGACATAGAAGGGGGCATTTGCTATTAATGTTTCGCATCATAATGTGACCATTCAGGCCGTGTATAAAAACATTCTTCACCTGCTGAAGTATCTAACAGTAACGGATTCAAAAAGTAGTTTCCTTCAAACTATATCTTCTGGTATGAAGCTGCTGATGGAAGGCATAATTTCTCCAAAACCAGATTTCACGGCGTGTTGCACCGCTCTCTTGCACCTTGTTGTCTAAGAGGGTAATTTAAGCAAGCTCGGCTCCATGGCATTTGAGCTGTTGCAGTGTCAGTTTACTTGCGCCCATTACGCACCATGGTAGACAATCAAGCACTGTTTCCCTTAGCCGTAGTTTTGGTCAGGATATTCCTCATTATAAGAGCTGACCTTAGGCAGAAACAAAAACATACGCAACATACTAAATGGTTTAGTGTAAAATCAAACATTAAATCTAGAAATATGATTTGGGGTTTTCGATTCTGGTCTCGTTGCTGGAATTGTAGGGATTTTGTGGCAGCTCAAAGTCTTAAAACTGCTTTGATTGAAACAAATGGTGGATAACTAATCCAAGTGAATGTTTCAGTACGCTGCGTCCTGACTCCCGTGAGAAAATTTAAGCAGGTTCCGTAGAATTTGAGCACTTGCAGCACCACACCATTTTGTCTGCCAGGGTCACACTTCACACTCATTGCGAGAGATGCTTCAGAATCTGGAATTACCCATATCTTAGATGCTACAGAATAAACATCATGAGCTTTCTGTACATCCGAGTATGTCAAATAACGAGTGACTCATCCAAGACCAGATTTCAAGGCATAGTGTACCACCTCTTGCTCTTAGTTGTCAACGGAGAGATTAAAATATGGCAGAGCTCCATAGTATTTGAGCACCTACACTGAAATAATGGAGTAAGGCATCAACTAATTAATATTAGTAAATTCCAACTTACTCCATTCCTATATTACTCATATCACAGTGCTTTTTAGCATCAGTTATGTTATACGCTGGCTAGCTGCTTCTAAAGTTATTACTCAATTTCGCAATTCGGTCTTGAGTTTAACGCCATTCTTCTCCTTTCGCTTAGCTTAGGCTCTATGCGTTTGCCTTCTGAAATTCTGAAAATAGACACTTCTGACAATGAGCCTTTTCCATGTCTTTAAATGATCTTTTAATTCGGGATCAATTGGCGCTGAATCAGTTTGGAGTTTCATAGATGAATCAGATCTTGCTTCACAATTAGCGGCTGACGTTAAGGTACAAAATACTTGCCGCGACATTAATAAAAAATTTTTTCCTCCATTCGGAGACATGGATGCAAAACGCTTGGAATGCTGCTACGCTCTCTTGTAAATTCACCAGAATTTCATAGCTTTGTCACATCGTTTCCTTGGCTCTAGTAACCTCAAAGACCTTTTATGCAAGCTACCGTTGCGTGGTATTTTAGTACCTACAGCGCTTAGCCTCAAAATAGCACTCTTTTGTTCGGTTATTGCGCCAATGTGTAGTCCTTGCCATACCAGTTGGGCATGCGAAGGATATTATACCTTGCAATTTCCTACCGTCACCTATAAAATATTGCGAGAATTTTCCGCTATAATTGATCTTCAGAGTGTAGACAGTATGGTGAAAAATCCTATCTCCATATAGTCTGGATGGTTGCCTCCAATTTTTCCGTTGAGGCCTTTCGTCATAGTACCATTTTAATTCTTCCAGGAAAGAGCTATCTTAAAATGCATGAAGAGTTCTTCCAGCTTCTGTCACTTGGGCCTAATTGACCGATAGCGTCAGGGTTTGTGATTCGCATTCAAGGTTCCAGCACGGCTCTTTTCCTCTACAGTGAGATAGACAATGCTTGTTGTCTGGTTAGTATGACGGAATTTTCGAAGTTACGTCCAGGAAAGCAAGATAATTTTGCTGTCAGTAAGAAGGTATGATTGACAAGTCTGATAATCATCTTCATCTTCCATTGTCGCTTTTCCCTTCGGGTCGCGGAGGCAGACGCGTCAGACAGAGCTTCCAACGTTCCCGATCCTGTACCGGAGCTCGAGGGTCGGCAGAAGACAAGTGGAGTGTGTTCCAGACTCCTTCCATATATCTGATAATCATTGACAGTGTAATAAATACGGCATCGCTGTTCAACAGCAGTTGCATGAAACAGGATGTCTTATATCGGTTAAAGTGATAACACTTATAGCGTTCGAATAAGTATCATTCAGAACGGAAGGCTGCTTTAATGCTTCCCTGGAGCGTATTTTGGTAAATCCCTTGCTCTAGGGGCCGAGTTGTTGACAGAAGAACTTCAAGCAGCACCACGGTTTAACCTGCAACCCTCTTGCATGCAAAGTCTAACGACTTTGCTCTGAGAGTTACATGGTGCCCTCAATTTATAACATGGCTGAAGCTTCAAATTTCAATTTTAAATAGTTAGCGTTGTAGAGATATCTAACTTTGTGAAATACGACTGAACGGTATATTGCACATTCGCTGTCCGGTGATTAGTAAGAGAATGAATACGGTGCTTCAATAATACGCGCATTATTTAGATTAGACGAAAGCATGGGGGACGAAGCGAATCACCTTGAAGAAAACTGTCGGTTTCCAGCTGCCGCTCATCGAAGATCGAAAGCATCGCAAGGCCAGTTCATGGCTCCTTTGGGCGGAGTGATCGTGCCGAACATCAGCGTTGACACCCCGGTTTACCACTTCTGTCCGACCGACGAAGCGAACGGCGTCAGTGGCTTCAAGGAAAGCGCCCCCTCGCAGACGAGAAGAAACACGATCCACATCGACCACAGTGAGTGAACGAAACAGCATGTCTGCTTTGACTGAATGCGCCTTGCCAGGCTATGAGATGCATGAGATCTGTTACTCAAACGTTCACTTACTAGCTAAGGATGTGGACGTAACATGACATGGCAGTATTTCAAATTTCTCTGAACACGGTATCAGGTGAGATCGATAGATCATTTTTATCACCTCATGATCTGTTGCAAGAAGGAGTGACTATGCCAACACAAAGTTACGAATAAGTCATAGTCATGCTGTTTATAACATCTCTGGCGATCGGCTGCTTGAACTTCTAAATGCATATGTTACATGTTGGTAATTTCATTTTGGTAACGAAGTTGTTCGTCCTGTATCTGAAAATGACAAATTTAGTCACCCCGAAAACTTTGAAATCTTAGAATTATGCTTTTTTATCGGTTTGAAAATCGTAATCCTTTATGACCATCAAACAGGTAACTTAACATCGATCAGGTTCTGGAATCTTCTTCGTTGCCAATGAATACTTCAAGTTTGCCTTATTACCGTTTTTACCTCATTGCCGTCGGCCAGAAGTGAATTGAGAATGTTTCCCTTCTGTTAATATAACTTTTGGATACTAGTTACTTTCTGCTTCCATACAAGAATTTGCTTTTGCCATCTCTACTGTTTCGCCATTCATGGCGATTCTGCAGGTTTTCGTGACAATTCGCTTGCTTTTCAAAGCTGCTCTGGCGCGAAGCATTTATGCGCTTATGTCAAGAAAATGCGAAAGAAGATTCGCATATCAAACAGGCACTATTCGTCCGCATATTAGGTGACTTTCAGAAGGCTGTCAAGTCAGAGATGCCATAACATCTAATATTTTTGAATTTCCTACAAGCGAATTTCAATAAACAGT